TCCCTACCTTTTCCTGTAGTAGATCTAAAGTTTCAGTCTGACTTTGAGCTCTTTGATCCACTTGGAGTAGGATGAGTTTGGCTCCTTTCTCAGGGATTAGCTAGCTATGTGTGTTTTATTCCTAGGTCTTCTATACTGTTCCATTGATCTTTGCCTCTGTTTTTTGTACTAGTACACAAAAACACAAAGAAGCTTGTTATTTTGTTACTGTGGCTCTGTAGTTTAATTCAAAGTCTAGTGTTGCTCTTTTTACTTAGAATTGCTTTTGCTGGTTGGGGTCTTTCATCCTCCATATGAAGTTTTAGATTGATTTTTTTCTATTTCTCTGAAGAATAGTGTTGGGACACTGATTCTGTAAATTGCTTGTGGCAACATCCAATCCATGAGGATTAGAAGTCTTTGCATCTTGGTGATACCTTCTGTTTGTTTCTTCAAAATGTTGTGTTTGGTTTTGGTTTTGGTGTCAGTCCTGGTGCTTAAGCTCAGGGTCTGGGAGCTGTCCCTTGAGCTTTTCTGGTCAAAGCTAGTGCTCTACTATGTTAGAACGGAAAGCTGCTCCTCCCACCCCATGGTGCCAAGAAGCAGCGTGATGCACACAAGATGTTGAATTCCTGCTGCATTCTGTATAGTGGGAAGCCAGAGCCTGTACTGCTATAGCTGAGGGATAGCACCTAGCCCAGAGTTCAAGCCCCATGACCGACAAAAAAAAAGACATCTTCTAATATGTAATTTAACCAAATAAGAATACCTTTTTCTTTTGAGACTGTCTTGCACTCTTCTCTTCTTCCGTCTCTGTTTATTCAAAACTCTCTTCGTGGGCTGGGTATGTGTAGCTTAGTGGTAGAGTGTTTGCCTTGCATGCATGAAGCCCTGTGTTTAATTGTCAGTACCACATACATAGATAAAGCAGGAAGTGGAGCTATGGCTCAAGTGGTAGGATGCTAGCCTTGAGCAAAAGAAACTCAGGCAGTGCCCAGGCCCTAAGTTCAAACCCCAGGACTGGCAAAAACAAACTCTGTGTACACACACACACACACACACACACACACACACACGCCTTTTTTATATACACTCCCTTTTTTGAAGCTCAGGTGGTGCATGCGCACACACACACACGCGCGCGCGCACACACACACACACCTACCTTTTTTATATACACTCCCTTTTTTGAAGCTCAGGCAGTGCCCAGGCCCTAAGTTCAAGCCCCAGGACTGGCAAAAACAAACTCTGTGTACACATACAACCCTTTTTTATATACACTCCCTTTTTTCTCCATGCTTTGAACTTGTTAAGACCATATAGTTGCCTGATAGAGTTTACAGATTTTTCTGATTGCTTGTTTTTTTTGTTTGTTTTAGTTATTGTTTTTCCTATTGTTTGCATTTCAGTAAACTAAATGGTAGATCTAAAGATTTGATTAAATTCTCCATAAATAAATACAAAGTAATTCTAACAAAAAATTTTGTGTGTGTGTGTATATGTATGTATGTATGTATGTGTGTGTATGTGTGTGCCTGTCCTTGAATTCAGGGCCTGGGTGTTGTCTCTGAGCTTCTTTTCTCAAGGTTATTGCTCTACCACTTGAGCTGCTACACTACTCAGGCTTTTTCTGAGTAGTTTATTGAGTTGAGTCTCACAGTCTCTTCTGCCTGGGCTAGCTTTGAACTGATCCTCAAATTTCATCCTCTTGAGTATTACAGGTGTGGGCCACTGGCACCCAGCTAACAAAGTCTTTTTTTTTTTTTTTTTTGGTGCTCCTTCTGGAGCTTGATCTCAGGGTCTGGGTGCCTTCCTTGACCTTTCATGTGCGAGGCTAGTGCTGTACCACTTGAGCCATAGTTCCACTTCTAGTTTTTTGTTTGTTTTTATTTGTTGTTTGCAGAGCTGAGGACTTATCAGGTAAGTGCTCTTCCACAGAGCTAAATCCCCAATTTCCAGTTATTGGTAGTTAGTTGGAGATAAGAGTCTCATGGACTTCCTGCCTTGGCTTTGAAATGTGATCCTCAGATTTTAACCTCCTGAGTAGCTAGGATTACTGATATGAGCCACTAGTACCTAGCTTCCCAGCATTCTTAAAGTTATTTTTTTTTCTCCTGATACCAGGACTCATTGGCTATTGCTGTACCACCTGAGCCAGAGCTTAAACCTTCATTAAAAGCTGGGTGCCAGTGGCTCACGCCTGTAATCCTAGCTACTCAGGAGGCTGAGATCTGAGGATCAGGGTTGAAAGCCAGCCTGGGCAGTAAAGTCCGTGAGACTCTTATCTCTAATAAACCACTAGATAACCGGAAGTGGCACTATGGCTCAAGCAGTAGAGTGCTCACCCAAGCCCAGAGTTCAAGCCCCATGACTGGCAAAAAAAAACAAACCCAAAAAACAGCTTCACTAAAAAAATAACATTTTAAAGCTTGGCACCAGCGGCTCATGCCTGTGATCCTAGCTACTCAGAAGGCTGAGATCTAAAGATCATAGTTCAAAACCAGCTTGGCAAGAAAGTCTGTGAGACTCTTACCTCCAATAAACTACTCAGAAAAAGCTGGAATTGGCACTGTGGCTCAAGTAGTAGAACACTGGCCTTGAGCATAGAGAGGCTCAGGGACAAAGCCCAGGCCCTGAGTTCAAGCAAAAAAAAAAAAACCAAAACATTTCAAGAGGCAGCATGGTGACATGTATTTGTAATTCCAGCACATAGTAGTCTAAGGCAGGAGGATTTCTAGTTTGAGGCCATCTATACTACATACACAAGATCTTGTCTCAAAGATATATGGACATAAAGCTGTATGCATATGAACAACTATATGTCCATATTCAGAGAATACCTTGAGGATTTTTTTATACTCATAGCCAGCATTGAGATAAGACACAAAACAATATCAGTATCCTTGAAGTTTCCCATACGCACTCAGTGTCATTGTCCTCTCCCCAAAGCAAGCACTTGTCCTTGCATAATAAACCAGAGTTGATCAAGTGATAGGTAAGTGGATTGATCATTCAGTAAATGAAAGTGGAATTAGTAGTCAGTTGGAGAAAAACATCCCTCCACCCCTGTAACCAGATAAAATCCCAGATGAAGGAAGATGTAAAATGCAAATAGAATTGAACCTATAGTAATATTTGTAAGAAAACACTCTATGGAGATAATTATGTGAAGTATTCTTAAAAATGTATATTCTGGTAAAGTCAGTTCCTAAGAATACCCTTAGATTGTAGCTGCATTTGTCAGGGCTCACTTGGGATATATATAGCTCAGTGACAGAGCACTTGCCTAGCAGCACAAGGCTTTGGGTTTGATTCTAGGGCCACTGAAGAAAATAGAATTTCTATTTCTAGCACTTAAATTATCAGTGTTTTTATACATCAGTTAAAAAAAAAAACAAGGGCTGGGAAGTTGGCTCAGTGGTAGAGTGCTTGCCTTGCATGCCTGAGGCCCTGGGTTCGATTCCTCAGCACCACATAAGCAAAAAGAAAAAAGCCGGAAGTGGCGCTGTGGCTCAAGTGGTAGAGCGCTAGCCTTGAGCTGAAGAGCTGAGGGACAGCGCCCAGGCCCAGAGTTCAGGCCCCACGACCGGACCCCCCTCCAAAAAAACAAAAAAGACTGACAGCTCTTAGAAGCTAACTCTGTAAGCCAGCAGTAGAATAGAAGCATGAAAAAATGAATAGGTTGTTAGGCCTTTGTGGCCGTAGGTAGTGAGGAATCCAACTTATGCAGCATAACAGAACTTAGAAATATCTTCCAGGCAAGACAAAGGACCTGAGACAAGGTCTGTGTCCAAAGCAAGGACCAGGCTCCTCTGCCCATGAAAGAAAGTTGACAAAGTACAAAATGGTTGGGGCTTGCTTTTTAAAACGTTTTTATCTTTACTTTTTAGAGGAAGCAGGTTGTGGTTAGCTTTCTGTCACTGTAAAACATATTTGAGATGATCCAATTTATGTTTTTTTTTGTTTTGTTTTGTTTTTTGGGGTCCAGTCGTGGGGCCTGAACTCTGGGCCTGGGCACTGTCCCTCAGCTCTTCAGCTCAAGGCTAGTGCTCTACCACTTGAGCCACAGCACCACTTCCGGCTTTTTTCTTTTTGCTTATGAGGTGCTGAGGAATCGAACCCAGGGCCTCATGCACGCAAGGCAAGCGCTCTACCACTAAGCCACCTTCCCAGCCCCTGATCCAATTTATGAAGAGAATGGTTCATTTTCACATAGTTTTGGAGATTTTACTTGGAAGGCCTCCTGGCCATTGGCTTGAGCAGCACTTCATGGAGGTATATGTGGGATGGACAGAACCTCGAGAGAAAGGACTCCTTACAGTCTCTTTCAAGGCTCATCCTGCCAGCAACCTGAACACCGCCTACTAAAAATATACTTTTGTTATTAAGGTGTGGCACAGGGGTTACTGTTTCACAAGTCAAGTAATGAGTACATTCCTTTTTGGACAGTGTCACCCCTTCCTTTGCTTTCCCTCAGTTTCCTCTTCCCATCCCTGCCCCAAGTTGCATGGTTCATTTTCTACATAATGTCTACTGAGTACCATCCATGCCTGCCTGCCTGCCTTCCTCAGTTTCTGCCCTCCTCCTTGCCCCCCCAAAAGACAAAAAACAAAACGAAAAGCAAAATCACTACCACCAACTTTTTTTTTTAAATATACTAGGGATTGAACTTGGAAACTTCCATTTGCTAGGCTGGCTGGCTTCCTCCTGAGCCCACCACAGACCTAGGTTCCACCTCCCAATAGTACCAACCTGAGGACCAAGCCCTTGATTTCTCCTCCAAACGTTAGCACAAGTCTCATGTCTTAACCATCCTTAGCTATAAAACCATCAGAACTACACTAGGATTCTATCTCATTCCATTCAAAATGACTGTCATCAGAACAACAAAGTTCACAAAATGGCACTAATATCTGTTGTGTCTTCAAATCTGTAGAGAATCCTATTTGCTTCTTTATGTCATTGTATGTAGACTATGGTTTGTTGAGTGAAGTGGTAAATAAACTGTGTTGTGCATTTAGGTTCGGCGTTGGGCTATCCTGACTGCAAGAAACTTGGGGAAGGTAGACAGAGATGATTACTACGACTTACAGGAAGTTTTAACTTGTCTTTTTAAAGTCATTGAGTTGGGGCTTCTAGAAAGTCCAGACATTTATACCTCTTCTGTCCTGGAAAAGGGTAAACTGATTCTTCTGCCCTCACACATGTACGATACTACCAACTACAAAAACTACTGGCTAGGTGAGTATGATTACTTTATACCAGTGTATTTGGGGGCTTCCTGAGGGTCCCGAGCAGGAAGTGATCTCTTGGGGATTGGTTCCAAATTGCTAAATACAGAATTTCATGGTTTCAAATTCTTGTTCTATCATTAAGTTGACTTAGCCAATATGTATCTTACTTAGTAATAATATGTATGTAATTAATTACTCTAGAAACCTGTAGAAGGAGTACATTTTCAAGCATCCGCAAACTAATCTTGTTCAAAGCAGTATTAGAATAGTAAAACATTAGCATGGTGGTTGAATTTAAATTGGGTTTGACTGCTAGTATTTCTAGTATACAGAGAATTTACAGGTAGAGAGACATTAGTATTGTTTGAGTTCTGCACTGACTCAGGATAGCTGTGCCCTGTTTAATTGATTATAGTTCATGTGTCATAATTAGTAATTGTTTTTTTCTTGCTCTGTGGTATGTGAAATAGGGCTGGGTACACCTAAAAATTGAACCTCTTCACACTTAGTGAAATCATGTGGTAGTCATCTTAGAAACTGATTTCCAGCTGTGCTAGTACTATTTTCTCATGTTACACTCAGTGCAATCGTAGGTTCTGTTCCTGGGGAGCAGGTGGTGTGTATTAGTGTCTAGACTCACGTGTTGGGAACTAATTCCATTGGCTTCATTGGCATTTGCCCAGTAGGCAAGACAAAGCATGTGAGTAGTGGAAGGAAACTCTGTATTCTCCCACAGGTATTTGCATGTTGCTGACCATTCTCGAGGAGCAGGCCATGGACTCACTGTTGCTGGGCTCAGACAAACAAAATGACTTTATGCGGTCGATCCTGCACACCATGCAGAAACAGTCAAATGGTAAAGCCCTTTTCTTGCTACTTGCTTTGGAGTTCTGTCATCGTACACTGCCACGGACCAGCTTGGCCGGAGCACTGGGACTGATGGGTCAGGAATCTCAGGATAGGTGGGCAATGAGTCGGCGAAGTGACAAACAGACACAGACTCAAAAGAGTTGCATCTGGGTGTTTCTTCATTGAGGAGAATTAACATTTTTATACAGTGTGTGATTGTGACATAGATTCTTTGTTTATTTAAGCATGTAATCAATTTCTAAGAAAGGGGAAGCATTAATAGGTTACATGGAAATTGATGACTATCCCACCAACTGTTTAAGTTAAGTGGTGCAAGACAAGTCTAGCACATTGTTTAATACAATGCATCATCTATTCAGCCTTTTATGTTTAATAATTAACAAGCCTAAGACAGGGCTGTACTTATATTGTACTCCTTTTATTATTTATTTATTTATTTATTTATTTGGGTCCGGTCGTGGGGCCTGAACTCGGCCTGGGCACTGTCCCTCAGCTCTTCAGCTCAAGGCTAGCGCTCTACCACTGCCACAGCACCACTTCTGGCTTTTTTCTTTTTGCTTATGTGGTGCTGAGGAATCGAACCCAGGGCCTCAGGCATGCAAGGCAAGCACTCTACCACTGAGCCACCTTCCCAGCCCTCCTTTTATTTTTTCCATAAATTTTTAAGTCCCTTTGAAACCATCCTAAAAACCACTCCCAGGTTAAGTCAGGCATTCTCAGTTTTTTATGACTTTGATCCCAATATTTTTTTGCATGAATTTCTAATTGTTATTTTAAACTATCTTGTTATTGTTTTGATAATAAACACCACAATGGTCTAGATCTACCTAATCTTTGCATAAAATCTAATGAGTACCAAAATACTTTTTCCTTTTACATTAATGCATCTATTTTCATCTTTATAAGCTCCTGTATAAGGCAATGGTTCATCGGTCAGCTCAGGAAATGTGATGTCACTAACTTTATATTTTGTGGGAAATCACCAGATATTCCCTATAATGCAAGCTGGACCAAACTTAGTCATAACTGTTGGGGGAATCTTTCTTTTCCTTTTATTATCAGGGGTCCCTTTTTTTTTTTTATCCATACACTGATATATTGAATTGAAATTCCTCTATACAATATTGTTCAACCTTCTTCTGTCTCTCTGCCCTCCCCTCTCCCTGTTCTCCATCTTTTTTTTCTTTTTTTTTTTTATTGTAAAGATACTATACAGAGGGTTACAGTTACATGAGTGAGGTAATGAATACACTTCCTCTTGAACATTGTTACCCCCTCCATTGTTTTCCCCCTACCATCCCTTCCTTCCCTACCTTCCCCGAGGTTCTTTTTTTTTTTATTATTGTGATTAAGTGATTACATAATTTCTGGAATTTCACAGTATTGTGGAATAATGATGCTCATTTAAAGTCACAAGTTCATTCTAACTTTCCTGGAGCAAATTGTCTATCACAGTCTATAACATATAACGGTGTTCACATGTTATATACCATATATGTGATCAGCAGCATGGGGATATTTAGTAGTGGTTCAACCAGATGAGTGGGAGTTCTTTGTTTCTTAAGTCCTGTTAGTTTTGTCATATCACCTAACATTTTGGATTTAGCATCCACTTATCAGGGAGACCATGTACCATTTGTCTCTTTGCTCTTGGCTTACCTCACTCAACATGATTTCAGGGGTCCCTTTTACTAGAACTCTCTGTGCTTCTGGGATAATGCCTTCTGGTTTAGTTTAATTCCTTAATTCTGCCTGTTGCAACATATCTGGAAATTTCAAATTTCTGTATTTACTATGAGTGAGCCACAAAACTGCTTTCAAAAATGGAGGGACATCTGGTGGCAGAGTCATGTAAGGTGATATATTGATTGGGGCATTGTCCACATCTAATCTTCAGTCCTAGTCTTTATTATTCAGAGAAACCGTCTCTATTGGACTGGAAAGGAACAACGTGCCCTGTTCGAGGATCCATAAAAGAATAGCCAGAACAAGAATAAAGGCAACGAATGTACAGCCAAGAAGAGAACAATAAGGATAAAGATAGAGGCAGTAAAGGTGCAGTCAAGTATATAGGAAGCCTTGAAGCAACACCCTCTTCCTGCAGGCCTGCTTCCTTGAAGCTTAGGCTTTGCCTGGTGTGATCTATCACACAGACTCCGCAGGAGGTGGCGTGGCAGTACACTTTCAAGATGCTAGCGTCACTGAGAATTGGGGCATGACATCGTAAGGAAAAAAAACTATATGATTGTGGTAGTGCCATTCTGTAATGCTAGCTATTCTGGAGACCAGGATCAGAGAGATCACAGTTCAAGGCCATCCCCTAAAGTGGTTCTTGAGGCTTTATCTCGACCAAAAAAGCTAGGTGTGATGGTGCATGTATACCATCCCACTATGGCAGGGAAAGCTAGGAAGACCATTCCTGGGAAAATAGTATGACCCTATCAAGATAACCAACACAAAAAGGACTAGAATGTCACTAAAGTAGTAGAGCACCTTCATAACAAAGTGGGAGGCTCTGAGTTAAATAAAGAAGGGATGGAGAACTTTCTGAGATCAGACTGAGAGTTGGAAAGGACATTTAGAGTTTAATTTGGCACCTTACTTTGATAAAAGTAACTGAAGTTCAGAAATATTTGTTATTTTTCCATGGTGAAAAAATTTAGGGGTTGAATGAATGGTAGAACCTCTGGGAGACACATCTGTAAAGGTATGGTAGAGGACAGTGGGGGAGAGCCTCTCCTATCCCGTAGTCTCCCCTCCCTTGCCGTTGCTTCATTGTCCCCTGCTGCTCTAGGGTTGCACAGCCTGACATGAAATCACCGTCCACGTGCAGTTATTTAAGCCTCAGTTAATTAAAAATAAAACTTCAGCTTTTTGGCCACCTACTGGTGGCTCATACCTATATTCCTAGCTATTGAAGAGGCTGACATCTAGAGGACCCCAGTCAAGACTAGCTTATTATGTAAGAATCCATCTTCAAAATACCCAGCAAAAAGTTGGGCTGAAGGCATGTCTCAGTGGTAAAGTGTTAGCTGGGTTGGGGCTTCTTTCCTTGACATGTAGACTCAATACATTTCCATCATGAGAAAATGGTCTTGGATAGTACTATTCTAGTTTAGAAAATAAAGCAAATGCTATTGTCTTGACACATGCCTGTAGTTTCCATACTTCAGGTGCTGAGGTGGGAGAAGTAGGAGTTTGAGGTCGTCCGGGCTACGTGGTAAATCCCTGTCTCAAGAGACAAACAGAACACACAAAATGGGAGAGAAGGAGGGAGTTTGGAATCTTGATGAAGAGGAGCAAATCAGTAAAGCCTGAATAACTTGTCTGTGAAAACAGGTTGTATGTATTTTTCCCCTCTTCCATGGTTCTTCCAGCAGCTCAGTTGTGGAAGTTTCTAAAAGACCTAATAGATACAAAGGAAAGGGCTGGAGTCAGAGCTTGTGAATAGCAAGAATTATTATAAAAGGGGAGGACAAGTAGCAAACAGGGAAGTGTGGATGGATGAAGTGTTTGCTTACTTGTTACCCCAGGAATTCTTATGTTCTGTGGCTTGCAGATTTCCCTGTGTCATGGGCCACATTTAGATCTGTAAATACTGTTTCTCATTCTCTTCCTCTCCACCCCCTTTTTTTTGTTATTTATTGCTAAGTGGCAGGATAAAGTTCTGGGAGGGCTTTAGGAGCTGATAAGAAAGAATTGTTTCAAGTGTGGCCAGCAGGGGAAGAAGGTTGTATTTAGACTGCTTTGTTTCCAGTCCATAGGTTTGCCCATTGAATTGTAGGTTTTTTTTTTGTTTTGTTTTTTGTTTTTGTCGGTCGTGGGGCTTGAACTCTGGGCCTGGGCGCTGTCTCTCAGCTCTTCAGCTCAAGGCAAGCACTCTACCACTTGAGCTACAGCGCCACTTCCGGTTTTCTGGTGGTTTATTGGAGATAGGAGTCTCACGGTCTCTCCTGCCCGGGCTGGCTTTGAACCGCGATCCTCAGATCTCAGCCTCCTGAGTAGCTAGGATTACAGGTGAGCCACCAGCGCCCGGCTGAATTGTAGGTTTTGTCTTTGGTTTTTGGTGGTACTTAGGTTTGTATTCAGAGCCTTCTAGTTACTAGGTTTAGTGCTCTATCACTTGAACCACACTTCTAGTCTACTATTAAAAGTTAGAATGGGGTGCCGGTGGCTCATGTCTGTAATCCTCACTACTTGGGAGGCTGAGATCTGAAGATTGCAGTTCAAAGCCAACCCAGGCAGGAATGTCCGTGAGACTCTTATCTCCAATTAACCAGCAGAAACTGGAAGTGGCACTGTGGTTCAAGTAGTAGAGCACTCACCTGGAGCCGAAGAGCTGAGGGACAGTGCTCAAGCCCAGAGTTCAAGCCCCCCCCACCCCCCCCCCCCCCCGCCAAATATATATAGTTTACATTGGTGGCAACGTAAACTAGTATAACCACTCAGCAGGCAGTTTGAAGGATCCTCATAAAAGTAAACATAGAGCCCAGACCCTGGTGGCTCTCACCCATAGTCTTAGCTACTCAGGAGATTGAGATCTGAAAAATCACAGTTCAGTACCAGCCCAGGCAGAGAAGTCTTTTTTTTTTTTTAATTTTTTTTTTGGGGGTCCGGTCGTGGGGCCTGAACTCTGGGACTGGGCACTGTCCTCGGCTCTTCAGGTCAAGGCTAGCGCTGTACCCCTTGAGCCACAGTGCCACTTCCAGCTTTTTACTTTTTGCTTATGTGGTGCTGAGGAATCGAACCCAGGGCCTCAGGCATGCAAGGCAAGCACTCTACCACTGAGCCACCTTCCCAGCCCCCAGAGAAGTCTTTTGAGACTCTGATCTCCACTAAAACTATGCCAAAAAAGGAAAAGCTGGAAGTGGAGCTGTGGCTTACTAACCTTGAACAAAAGCAGCTCAGGGACAGCACCCAGACTTACTGAGTTCAAGCCCCAAGACACACTCACACACACACACACACGCACGCACAATTAAACATAGAATTTCTCTATGACCCAGAGATACCACTCTTGGGCATCTACCCAAAAGGTTCAGGACACGGTAAAGACACTTGCACACCTATGTTCATTGCTGCACTATTCACAATAGCCAAGTTATGGAAACAATCCAGATGCCCTACAGTAAGTAAGTGGATCCAAAAAATGTGGTACAGATCTGAAATAGAAGTCGACATGACAACCTATACACAACTCCAGCCATTCACATACAGACTGAAGGAGAATACCAGTAGAAGATGAACTTAAAGGTGTAACTCCTGAACAAGTAAAATACTATTTATTGAAATGTATTCCAGGAAATGGGAACATGGGTTATTTATGTTGTTGGTGCTGGTGTTGTTTTTGTGTGTTTCTTATCTTTTTTTGCTTCTTAGGGGAAGTAAAGAGGGATACAGAAAGGGAGGAAGGGTGAACAAATGCAATCATATGCTATGTGGAAAACGAACTATGCAACTTGTGGGCAGGTATCGGAGGGGGAATCTGAGGAAAAGCGAAAGAAGGGGTGGTATTGTCCAAAAGAGAAGTATATGCATTACATGAATTGTGAAATATTAATCCCTCTGTATAATATCTTAATAATAATACAATTATATCTAAAATTATATTACAGAGGGATGGTAATATTCAAAAAATTGAAAATTTGCCAGCTTTGAAATACCTCTGTCTCAGCCCGGTGCCCATGGCTCATGCCTATAATCCTAGCTACTCAGGAGGCTAAGATCTGAGGATTGCAGTTCAAAACCAGGCCGGGCAGGAAAGGCTGTGAGACTCTCATCTCCAGTAAACCACTCAGAAAACCAGAAGTGGTGCTGTGGCTCAAGTGGTAGAGCACTCGCCTTGAGCTGAATTGCTGAGGGACAGAGCCCAGGCCCAGAGTTCATGCCCCACAACTGACAAACAAAAAACAAAAACAACCTCTGTCTCTAAGAGCTGATATTATTTTTCCTTAAACTACTTTGTTTTGTTAATTTACTTAAATGCTGCTTTGATTTAATCATCAGTGTAAATGCTAATCTTTAATATTTTTTTCTTTTTCCTTTGGTCATGGGCCTTGAACTCTGGGCCTGAACGCTGTCCTTCAGCTCTTCAGATCAAGGCTAGCGCTCTACCACTTGAGCTACAATGCCAATTCTGGTTTTCTGGTGGTTTATTGGAGATAAGAGTTTCATGGACTTTCCTGCCCAGGCTGGCTTTGAATCACAATCCTAGATCTCAGCCTCCTGAGTAGCTAGGATTACAGGCGTGAGCCACCAGCGCCTGGCATTATTTAGTAACTTTTAGTTAGTCTTTGTAATTGATTTGTAATTCAGAAGTTGTTGCATTGTATTTCAGATGATAGCATGGATCCTTTCTGGCCAGCCTTACACTGTTTCATGGTGATTCTGGATCGGCTTGGATCTAAGGTCTGGGGTCAACTTATCGATCCTATTGAAGCATTTCAAACCATCATCAACAATGTGAGCTATAACAGAGAGATCCAAAATATACGGAACAGCTCTGTGAGGTTAGTTAAGCTAATGTTAGGATTTCAAAACAATCTCTAGTTAGAGTGTGGTGGTAATAACTCTGTAATGCCAGCACTCAGGAACCAGAGGCAGGGAGATCATGGGATTCAGACCAGCCTGGGCTACATTGTGAGACTCTTGTCTTAAAAAAAAAAAAAAAAATCTTTGTAGCTGGGCACCAGTGGCTCACACCTATAAGCTACTCAGGAGGCTGAGATCTGAGGATCATGGTTCAAAGCCAGCCCACGCAGGAAAGTCCATAAGACTCTTTGTTTTTGGTCAGTTGTGGGGCTTGAACTCTAGGCCTGGGCGCTGTCCCTGAGCTCTTCAGCTCAAGGCAAGTGCTCTACCATTAGAGCCACAGCACCATTTCTGGTTTCCTGAGTGGTTAATTGTATTTGTTATCGTTTTTGGCAGTGTGGCCATTTTCACAATATTGATTCTTCCTATCCAAGAGCATGGAAGGTCTAATATTTCCTGGTGTCCTCTTTGATTTCTTT